TTTCAGACCAAGAGACATCAATTGATAATTAAAATTCTCATACTGCAGCTATTTTTAATTTTATGGCTTAAAAATACTTAATTGGCATGTACCCTGAGGCTTTCTGCAATGGGTTTATGTTTACAAATAATTAATAATCAGGATTAAAAGCAATATTTTAATTTCTAAGCAATTTAACTGTCCAACTTTTAAGTCTATTGTGATTTTATCCTTGTCAGACAGTCTAAGAAAAGCAGATAAAACAGATGAGTATAATCAGTGTTAACCTAAAAGGGCCTAAGAAGAATTAAATTGTCAACAATTTTCAAAATTATCTTAAAAGAACTGGATACTATCAATTTATTTTGTAGCCAGCCTATCAACTATTTGTTTTGAATATATGTTTTATAGCAAAGGCCTAAGACAATATATCTGTATGTCAATCTCAGGCATGACAATGTTAATATGGTAAACTCAAGAACCATTCATATAACACATATTACAGTCAGACTGCCATAAACTTTGACTCCATAGTTAACAACAATTAATACCCAAGAAAAAGGTTTTAAGTATTATGACTGAATAACAAACCTAAGAGCTTCACTTGTGGTATACCCATTCAAATTTGTATTATTATTGCTATTTCCATTCTGGAGGTAACTCAGAGATTTTCTTTTTCTACCTCTCTCCCTCTCCTTCACCATCTATCTTGTCCTATATCTAGCTCTTCACCTGTGAAATTAGTATAATTTGATGCTAACGTTTGTAAATCTGCAACATTTGGATTTTTCTTAACACCTGACACAATGTACATTCCTTTCAGATAGTAATATGTGTGTATGTATATGTGGTTTTACACTGATATGAATATATTGATATATCTTGATGAGCAACAACAAACCATAAAAACACACAAGGAAATCTCAAATCTCTTTTGAGATATCTAAGATACTATATTGATATACTTACAGCTAAATTTAGTTTAGTGAATAATAGTTCAATCACAAATTGAAAGGTGGGAAATACCATAAACTGAAAAGTAACAGAATCAGAAAAATATAGATCTTCAAAGTCTTCTTACTGTAACCCTTGGATTGAAAAATATGATAATTTTCATAATAGTGAGGAATCCATTGATCTCCAACTAGGCTGTAATTTCAGGTTAGCTCAGCCTCTTTACATAGACCTCCTTTTTAAGAGAGATTTGGAGAAGGAAGAAGTTGCAGTAATGATGAGGGAAATGAACAGAACATCATGACCAGATATAGATTTGGTAAGACCTTGGCCTGGGTTATTAACAAATAGAGTCCAAAGATTGCATTAAGAAGAAATGGAGAATTTTCGGGATACTGAAACTTCAAGCCTGTACTGGAAGGGAAGAACGGAGATTTAAGCTACTTTCTAGAAGTATACTTGGGCTTTTGAGACACTTTTGAGAGCATCTACAAGGAATTTTTCTCTTGCTAATATGGATTACTTTTCCTATAAGCACATCGATGTATGTTTTGCCAAAGTATCTCATCCACTAGGAAGAGGAATAAGAAAAGAGGAAAAAAACTGTATTATGAAGTAATAATATTACTTCATTTCCCTGTCTATCAGATCCAAAGCATTTTGGTCATTACATATTTTCATTTGGAATTTTCTATAACTTCCTTAGTTATTTTAAAGTGAAAATTATTACTCTATTTCATTTTTAGAGCTAAGGTTGGTAATAGCTTCCTACTGCTGAGTGTTCCAGGAAATTAATGATTCCTTTTGGTTATCATTTAAATTTTCCAGAGCTTTGTAAATAGGAAACAGTCCATAACTTCTGAATATTTAATCTGTTTCCTATCTAATTCAGAAACCTTGATTTCCCTTTTCCTTTAAGCCCCACACTGAAAGGACCAGCAAATGCAGACATTGCTACTCTCAAATTTTATCCATCATCTTAATCTTAATCACTGCTAACCATTTTCCAGTGCTTCCTCTTTTATGCCATGGAATAGGTTATTGATGGTAGTTTTATCAACACTGAGGTAAAAGGAGAAGGCTGTTCTCAGCTGAAGTGATAGGCCACCGGGGACAGGAGACATCTAGATCTATCAAATTGCCCTCAAAGGCTCAGAGGACTGATACCTTTGCATATAACCTGAGAAATTCTGCCCTGATCTAAGCTATCATTTTCAATTATGTATGTCAAGAGCCTTCTAAATACTCTCCTGCCCCTTCTAATTACCTTGGTCAGAAGAACTGAGGTTATCATTTGAATCATGCTTCAGTCTCTTCACTGCAGACCTAAGAAAAGCCTCAAGTGGCTTTCTATTATGGGTGGAATAAAATCCAAACTGCAAGACCCACTATAAGGTTTGTCTTCTGCCAACTCTCCCCAGCTTCTCATCTACACTGCTACATCCTTAATTGTACCTCAGAAATCCCTTGGTTAATATTGGTTAGGCCCATTTTCAGCTGTTCTTTTCTTAGAACATTCTCCCCACAGCTTCACTACATTGTGTATTTCATATATTCAAGTGATGATGATGTTGCTGAGTCACTTGAAGTCATCTCCAACTCTTTGTTGGACTGCAGCATGCCAGGCTTCCCTGCCCTTCACTATCTCCCAGAATTTGCTCAAATAAAAGTGATGCCTCCTTAGAAAACCTTTAAACAGTCCAACCAAAATAGATTCCTGTACCACTCTCTCTCTACCATACCACTGATTTTATTTTTCTCATGGCTCATTATCAACCAGTAAACTTACTCTATTTATTTACTGTCTGATTTTTTTTTTTCTGGCATCCCACAGTTAAGTTGGGCTCTTTGAGAGCAGAGTTACTCTGATGAATTTACACCTGGAAGAAGAGCACCTGATTCATAGTAGGTGTTCAAAATTACATGCCATTGGCTGCTGTCTGACTTGACTTGAGAAGCTTAAATCTCCTTTAAGCTTCTTATTTATTTCCTTGAATTGGAACTAATTGCATTGCAAATCTATCATTGTGTGGATCTGAGGATTAATTGACATATTTACATAAGATTATTTAGTGTTCTACAAAAGTCTAGACATATGCAACTAATATGCTGTGGTGGTATTCTGGAGACAGCTCCAAGATTGCAACACCTACTAAATTTTCAGAAATCTTGTGAACTGGTTGACATCACATTGCAGCTTGAAGGTGTACATCATGGAAATCAGAAAATACTACAAATCAGGGCCATTTTGTCCTTAAAGATCTGGTTATTATTTGTCACTGAATTCCAATCTGCATTAATAAATATTCCTTCTTTTAGCAGTACTACAAATAATATATTATAAACTGGTAGAAAAATTTCAAGTAACAACAGCTTTATGGATTAGAAACAAAAATAATATTAGTGACAACTTTAAATCATATTTTAATTTTGGACTTGTAATAACTAAATAATATTCTTGTATCATCAAATCAGCTGTTTTAGGACATGTTCAAAAAAGGCAGCATTTTGTGTTCAGACACAGTCATTTCAAAGAAATGAAATTCTTTGAAATTTTATAAAATCTAAGATATGTCAAACCTTCTTAAAATCCTAAGATAGTGGTTCTATTACTTCACTGGGCATTAGAAATACCAAGAGAGCTTTTAAGAATTTCAATATCCATGAGTCAATGCCTATAACCAATTCAATTTGAATTTCTGATGTTGGAACCCAGATATCAGTGTCTTTTTATGCTCCCTAAATGATTCCAGTATGCAGACAAAGTTGAGATCTACTATCCTAAGGCATTGAGAGTCTTTAATGGGCAGCATGCCTAGTAGATATGGATTTAGTAAGAATATATAGATGGAATATTTCTACTTAAACCTTATGCCAGTCAAGTTAAACTTTTGTAGATACATTATGTTATTGTCTCTGAAATGTGTTTGGTTGAAATCCAAGGAAGACAAATGAGCGCTTGTCTTAGAAATGGTTTAATTTGGCAGACACTACTACTTTCATAAACAAACTGTTCAATGAAATCAATTCTTGGAATCATTATAACTTTAAGAATAGGAATTAAAGAACTATGTGGCAGATGTTATATGTAGCTGCAGTAAACATAATGGAAACATTTGTACATTTCATTATAAATAGTACTATTTCTCCAGGTGCCTTTCCATAGTTTAAAATGTATACCACGGCAGATTGGCTTATCCATTCTTCTCTGCTCTTGTCTCAACATATTCTAAGGTAAGAATGCATTGCTATTATCAGAAAATCTCTAGTAGTGTCAGTTAAAATAAATAGTGTCAATTGTTTTAATTAACAATTTGCCAAAATATTTCAGAAAAAATATGACCACTCCAAAATGTGGTCATAAAGACATCTCTCTCATTTTAATCTTGCTAGCTAGCTTACCTATCTAGATTTAAGTAAAAACATTTCAAGCTACAGAGCAGTTACTGCTGTTCTTTTCTTGTATCTAAGACTTACAGAATATTTGAAAACAAAATAAAAAACAGCTAAAATAGAAGAAACAGTTTCAAGAAATTTATCACAGTGTACTAGGTATAGAATGGAAATTCCTTCTGTATTACAGGAGTTTGGTATGTATTTTGAAATGTATAAATGGGGCCATTGGAGACCTGAAAATTAAAGATTTAACATCACTGCCAACTATTTGTTGCTCTGAAAGAGACAAAAGTTGAGTAGACAGAATTTTTTTTATTGTTAGTCATTTTCTCCAACCAATAGAATGTATTTCTTTTTCCTTTTTTATGGGATATGGATTTAGAACAATGCTGCACTGTAAAACTGTATACATTGTAAAATGCTCCAATTTATGAAATTTAACTTGCATTCAATTAGTTTCTGATGATTAAACATTTGCTTTAAAAAGAAATTCTCTTATTTGAATTATAACTATTTACAAATCCCTGTTTAAAGGAAATATTGGTAGTTTCCTATACAGTATATTGTTTTCTATGTCACATGAGATTTTTTTTAATTTTTAATTTACATACTTTATAGAACTTCAAATTTTGTAATCTGAAATATATTCATAATCATTTACACCTAAATATTTTAAAGATTTTTTAATCATTTTTAAAGGACATGGCAGTAACTATTGCTAATAGGTGACTTTGGTCAAAATAAAGGCAAGAGAAATATGTTGTAATAATATGTAACTTGAAAAATGTTAATTTTTTAATTATTAAAGTTGTAATTCTCATTTGTATACAAATACCATCCATGCATTAACAGAACAGCTTAGCTCATACAATAACAACATTATATTTTCTTTGATTTGTTGCTAAATTTTTGATATTTAACAAAAAAAATATAGTTATATATTCATTAAGTTCCTAGAATGGCTGTTACAAAATACCACAAGCTAGATGCGTAAAACAACAGAAATTTATTCTCACAGTTCTAGGGGCTAGAAGTCTGAAATCAAGATGTCGGCAGACTACGCTCCATCGCCAAGTGTCTAGGAGACAAGACTCTCCCTGGCCTCTTCTAACTTCTAGTAGCTCTAGTTGTTCCTTGACTTGCAAACAGCCTAACTCCACTCATCACCCATTCTCATATGGTCATCTTCTATCTTTGTGTGTTTCCGTGTCTTTACATGGAGGTCTCCTTGTGTATGTGCTCAAAGACCCTATTTCCAAATAAAGTTCATAGGTACTATGGGTTAGGACTTTAATATATCTATTTTGGGGAGCAGAAACAAATCAACCCATAGAAAAATATTTTTCAGCTTCTTATAAAGGCATAAAGCTTTCCAATTAATTAAATTATTAATAAAAGCAAAGTATAACAAATTTTAGGCATGTGATATGTTGGATTTCATTTATCTTCTTTTCCTTGGCCCCCAAAATATTTAGAATGGACTTTAATAATATTTATTGCATCCCCTGGAGAAAGGCATGGCTACCCACTTCCGTATGATTGCCTGGAGAATTCCATGGACACAGGAGCCTGGCAGGCTGCAGTCCATGGTGTCACAGAGTCATACACAACTGAGCAACTAATATTTAACATTTTTAACATACTGCATTTTTAATCTACAATGTAATTAAAATATCTGATATACAAACAGTATCTTTAGCCTTTTATTCCTAGTGTTCAGTGCACAAATTATATGATATTGGTATTCAATAAATATTTGTTTAAAGAATTTTAAAAAATGTTACCAAACCTGAAGAGAAGAATGAGGGAGGAGGCAAAAAGGTTCTTTTCTCTCTCTTTAAAAAATTGTTTATTATCTACAGACCATGGAATAATCCTGTTGCTACTTTTTCTCATTTTTGGATTTTTTACTTTTTTTAAGGTTTTTTTTTTTTGTAAAACACATTACATTCTAGAGGGAAAAGTTTTACTTACTTATTTTCCTTACTGTTAGGAATCAAATAAACCTAAATTTCTAGTGTTTTTCCCTAACTTCTTGCTTTCAAAAGCCATATATAAAATAGACTAGAATAAAAAACACACAGTGATATGAGTCACAAAGACAATGGTTTTCATCTCTTCTGCTCATTGAAGCATTCCTAGGGCTAGAATTGCCTGGCACACATGAGGCATCAATTAATGTGTTGAATTTATTGAAAATATTCATACTCCTCTTGTGGGAAATACCTGAAAGTGTATTTTCAGTTAGGTTACTCTTCTAAGAAGCAGAACACACAGAAGGTAACTTTTAGGTACCTAATAAATTTTATTAAGGTACCTAATAAATTTTATTAAAGTAATGACCCAATCTCACTGCCACAGAATCATGTCTTTAACTACTATCTTGCCTCAGGTGGCAGGATGTTGTCATATCACAGTTGATAAACAGTACCATCACAATATTTTCTTCCTTTTTTTTTTTTACCTCTCTAATGGTTAGGCAAATTCAAGAAAGAGAAACTTACGTATGAGCTACAAACTTGGTGAAATGAAATTGTTAATGAGCTCCTCTTAAATAAAGCCTTTTTCCTTGAAGGGAAATGAACTTACCACTGCATAAAAGCTGCTTCCACTTCCAGCAGTAATTAGGTCAACTGACCACATTTTAGGCCTGTATAAAAAAAGGAAAGTAAAGAAACTGAAGAAAAAGTTGCACATTAAATTTTACTTATATCATATTATTGAAAGCATCCACATATTTGTCTGCTCAGCCTATTTCATTGTTAATATGCACATTGAACAAAAGGATAGACTAGATTTTTAAAATATACTTTCTATTTTAGAACAGTTTTACATTAACAGAAAAATTTCAAGGATTTAATGGAGTTCTCCAAACCCCCAAACTCAATTTCCTGTTATTAATGTCTTAAATTATACAACATATTGGTTATAATTAACGAACCAGTATCAATATTTACCATTAACTAAAGTCCATTGTTATTGAGGCTTTCTTACATTTCATCTGTGTCCTTTTACTGTTCTGAATAGGTTACCATATGATATTTGGCCATCATGTCTCTTTGGGCTCTTCTTGGCTATGGCAGTTTCTCAAAGTTTCCTTGCTATGAATGACCTTGCCAGTTTTGAGGGGTACTGGTCAGGTATTTTGTAGAAAAACACACATTTGGATTTGTCCGATCTTGTTTCTTTTCCTCCTGATTAAATATGGGTATTTGGGGAGGTAGACCACAGAAGCAAAGTTCTTATTTTTTGGTGTTATTGTCTCATACCACTTGTAAGTTCTGGCAACATGAGTTGCGGTGTTGATGTAGGCTATGATCACTTTTCTGACGTAGTCTTTGAAAGATGACTTCACTGTAATCGTACTCTGCTTTGTCTCTTCCATATTGTATTATTTGGAAAAATATTAATACATGCCACCTGTGCTTAAGGAGAGGGAATTTATACTCCATCCCTTTAGTCAGAGTATTTGTATAAATGACTTAGAATTGTTCTCCATGGGAGATTTGTATATTCTCCTTTATTTGTTTATTAAAATAATTATTTGTGTCAGTATCACAGATATTTATTTTATATTTTGGGTTAAAATCCTATACTACTTCAATTTGTTGCTCAATTTTTCCAGCTTGGGTTACTGGGAGCTAGGCTAAAATTAAAATAGATGAAAAAGCTTCAACTATAACATTTCTGACGGTTTCTTTCCTGGCCTAACACAGGCTGTGTCTACATGACACAAACTGCAATGACATTAGTGAAAATATATTAATCGGCTATCTAGATGCTTAAATAGAAATCAAAATACCAGGTTTGTATTCTTGCATTTTAACTACATAAATGTTCGTATCATTTGGACCTAGTCTGAAGATTTTTTGCCAGCAGCATTATACATTTCTTTCCAGCATAAACATCAACCTATCAGGGAGCATTCTGGCACTGATGCAAATCCTTGATGTTGTAAATGTGACAGACCTGCCCACTGCTGGTGTTTTTTTCATCTTTATTTTCTAAAACCATAAAAGGTTGAATCATCTTGAACAGAGATTTAAAAGCATATATAAGAATATTATATTAATATCTATTTGATAATGTTATGTTTAAACTTCTCATAAAAGCATTTTTAGTAGGGTGGTGAAAGGTATGCATTATTTATAAAATAGGAACATATGCTTTTAATATAAATAGAAATAGTGAAAATGGGACAAAGACTTTCCTTCTCATTAATTATGCTCTCCCTCCCATAATTAGAAGAGGGAATTTTATTTTGTGGGCTTAACTTTGAAAGTGTATAGTAATAAAAACATTACAACCCAGTTTTCTCAGCACATACATGGAATGTCCATTTCTGAAAGGAGAAAATAAGCTTCATGAAGTTAAGGAAAAATACCCTGGTTAACACTGCAAGAGAAGATTAAGGTTTCAATATAAAAGCATTAACTCCAAAACCTATGCTACTTGATTATATTACAATTCTTTTTGTTAGTTTAAAATTTAATAAAAAGGAGAAAAATACAAAATAACATATACAATTATAGTAAAAGCAGAGTTGTTGATGGGTCAGGTGCAGGATAAAAGGAAGCGTTTCTTAGATTGAAACAGTTTAACAAGGAAAAAAGGTAGCTTAAGCAAACACTTCATGGAGTGTTTAAAACATATTTGGCATTATATTTTACTAAACTGTAGTTACACACACACACAAAGGTTGTACTCCATATCAGTATCACTATTTTCTTCAACACTGAACAAATACTTCAGTGATTCTCAGACCAGTATATGAGACAAAATTACTCCAATGTGCAAAATCACATTTTGATGCATAGCATTTAAACAAGATCACTAAAAACATTTGGGGTTTGAAAACTTTCAAACAGTGAGGTAATTCCATCCAAGCCAGAGACCAGAATGGAAAAGCATAGGGACCCAAATCACTGTGCAGTCTCTCAGTTTGTAAACTCTAGTTTTTATTAGTTCATTTGAGAATGACCTAATTTTCAATGATCTCTCAAGCACATTTACCTATTTCATCCCCATATGCTCCTAATAACTTATCTAACTTAGCTAGTACAAGTTTGCATTACTCCTGGAAACATTCTGAGAATGATAGCATTTCCAGTGAATTAGGCATGCCTTTTATTCTTGGGGGACCTCTGTGTTTAAATGAATACTCACACGCTTCATTACAGTATCTCTAAAATACATGCCAACCCTGAGGCATACCAAATTACTGAATTAAGGTGACATAATTCCTAGAAAAAGAACTCAGTACTGTGTTCCTAAAATACACTTATGTCTCCAAGGTTCTGACTAATTTATACTGCTAGGGGAACTGCCCCAATTTACTTTGGCTTTCAATAAAATACGTACAGCTGCTGCTAGCTAGAGCTCTGATCTGGGACAGCAGTACAAGCCAAATAAATGTTATCACAGTATCATTATTTTTAATAGATCTTCACTTCATCAGAGTGAAAAGATTAGGACCCCATCTAAGATGTTAGGTGGTTGTTTCCCAGACTGCTCACCATACTTCCAAATGGCAGGTTAATATTAGTTCGCTCCTGTACTAAAGAAAACATGTTCTCTTATGTATAAATAGCACAAACTATAAAGGTGGGACAATCTCGTTGCCTTATTTAGTTGTCTGAGGATTCACAGATGTGAAGAAGATAGTTAGATTTAAAGAAATAGTGAGACACTGTTATGGAATAAAATCATTTTTCAGTTATTCATTACATGACAGACCTGAATTCTTACCTCTTGAATAAAATGAACATGATAGATGCATAATGAAATAACAGATATATCACTTTGTAGCTCTTTTAAAAGCTAAGTTATAGAGTGGTATTTATGCTGGTCTTCCTGATAGCAGTAGAGAAGGAAAAGGCACCCCACTCCAGTGCTCTTGCCTGGAGAATCCCATGGACGGAGGAGCCTGGTAGACTACAGTTCATGGGGTCACAAAGAGTCGGACACGACTGAGCGACTTCACTTTCACTTTCCTGATATCAGATGGGGAGGCTGAAGAACATGGCTATAAAAACTGAAAAGGAAGAGTTTGTTCCAATTGTAAGAATTAGATATACCTGTGGAACAATTGTTTACTAGTGTGCAGTTGATTTGAGTCAACTGTTTAAAACTGATTTTAGATTTCAAATCCAGCTGTGTTGATGCATTTTCTAACTTGAAAGCTATACATTCAAAATAAAACCCTGCCATTTATATTTGGTAGGTAACAAAATGTATATATGACCTTCAGTGGTGTAGATAAAAATTAGCCCATGAAGTATTTCTTATTTTCATTATCTAAACCCTTAAGGAAAAGGAATAAGCCCCCTGTTGTGCAAATATCTATACTTCAAAAGGCTCTTTAACAAGACATTGGGTCTTTCATCATCAGAGAAGGGGTTCTCCAAATAAATAGCCTCAGCAGTCAATTTGCCTAACTTTTCAGGGATGATGAAAACCAGGGTGCATCTGTGAAGTGAAATCTGCTTCCCCTTATACTATAAAGATGAGACCTGTGATTGTTTTACTCCCCCTTTCATATACTGTCTGTCTTATTTAAGAATTAGAAATAGCTACTCCTTCCCTCTTATATTCAAAATTAAACTTCTTTTGAGATAGAAACGTATTATTTCCATTGTTGTCATATTTCCTATTTTAAAAGAACAAAACTGAACTAATTCTATACTAGTTTACTGTTAGTATTAAACTATTTGTGATTTTTTACTTCTCTGTCATAGTCCGGTTAAAATACTCATGAAATCCAAAACGTAGAAAGAGGCAACATCTCAAGACAACCATTAACAAAAGTGACTAGGCAATCATCCTGGATGCAAGAAAACACACTTAAAGTGTATTAATACCCTAAGCCTCTACGGCAAAACTCCACAGAAAACAAACTAAAGTATGTCCATTTCCCCCCCGAATCCAATCTCTAGACGTAAAACACAGAAGTATTCCGAATGGATAACACAGCCTGCTCTTATCAGTAAACAGAATGGTGCCCCCAGCAAGTCGTCACATGACAGCCCCCGAATGAGCCCTGAGAGAACTCATAACCACAGCGCTCATCAGACACTGCAGCCTCCCTGGAGAGCACACCCTGGAGAGACTCAAGATATGGCCTCAGACAGCTGAGGTACGAATCAGAGGGATGATTTCTGTGAGCCCAGACTCTTGCATCTTCCCAAACATAGAAAAGTGCTAGATAACTTAACTGAGGTATCTAGTTTTCTTTAAGAGTAATCTTGATGTTCTGACTGCCTGGTCTTTATTGCAAAAACTCCTGGCTCCCCAGATTGCCTCTTCAGAGCAGTCTTTCAAAATTATCTGAGCTGCTCTGTCCCATGCTTAAGACCTCAGTTTTGTGAATCAAATAAAACATTATTCCTAACTTTCAGGTGGTACATTTTTTTCAGCTGACAGTATTTTTATTTATTTATTTATTTTTATTTTTTTTGCAAACGAGAGGTAGAGAACCTAGTCTGGCATATGCTGTTTATAAAGAGAGAGAAATCAAAATGACCAAATATAGCTTGAAAAAATAGAGATCAGTCAAAAGCAAATGAAAAGTGCAGACACTGTGATATAAATACCTCCTATATGAGTAGGAAAAGAGTCAGACGACTTAGCAATTTAACAACAGTGTAAAAT